ACGATCACTGCTGCTATCGTTCTACAGCAAGCTTTACCTGCAGGAGCAAGGGCATGCACACCTAACCAGGTAACTTGTTCTTACTTGCCTTGCCTTGCCTTGCCTTAACAAGTAGGATTTTTGAACAGCTGTTTTCCAAAAGTTCATGCACCACATGGCATAATTGTTGGAGATATAGAAGGCAGGATGATAGCATCAGCATAAATAATCATTCATTTGAGTTTTTTGTCGTATTTTTCTACATAATTTAGTAGTTTACACTTTGGCCAAACAAGCAAAAGATCCCTGGTTCTCTGCCGTGACAGGACAAAAATCTGGTTTAAGGAAAAATATATTTTAAATTGCAAACACAGAGCTACCTGCTGTAGCATCCACTTATGATTAAGGAAGCAGCTGAAAGTAGTTTCTCCTTCATCATTCAGGCATCCCCTGCAGTGACTTTATGCCCAAGCAGTTGTCCCAGCTCACATTTTGCTAGCTGCTGATTTAGAGTTCTTGTATACGGGTCATTCCATGTAAAATCAATCAAAGCCTCTCACGATGAAGGCTCTGGAGGGTCCCCGGATCAGGACTATGAGGTGACAGCAGCTTAGTAAAGTGAGTAAAGGGGACATGCCAAAAGAAAATAGTCACAAGCTGAATAGGCAGTAAAGCAACAAATGCAAGGAGAGTATCCCCCTGGCCCTCTGTGATCCAAGCTCAAATTGCAGGGAAAACTGTTATAAGAGTGTTATAATGTTAATTATATTACAGGTTATTCTGATAAAGAAGAAAACTTGTAGGTGAAAAGTAGAGCTTTAATATGCTGTTGCCCAAAATTGTCTTTTTGAAGTTTTCTCCAGTAAATCAGCAAACAGATAAAAGATCTAGAGTACAAATGCTTGTTACTCCACATCAAAGCCAGTAAATTGGATCAGTTCTGCTGCTGAACTTTGATATATCCCATGATATTGATGCTCACTGGTGGTCATAGAAAAAAAAAACTGTACTGAATAAGAACCAGAACTGGCTTTAGATTGTGGCATTGAAGTGTGTGCAAAATGGAGTTGATTTAAAGAGTTTAAGAGAGTTTAAAATAATTTTCCAGCCCTGGAAATTCCACTAGGATATCTTTTGTGCTCTATAAGTTATAAGAGCTCCAAAAATACTAGAAAAAATAACATAAATCAAAACTAGTCATATTTCAGCCCTATGCTGTGTACTCTAAGGGCCCGTAAATAGGAAAAAAATTGTCTTATTGTGAAAGGAAAGTTTTTCACGCCTTCATTAAATATTCTAGCTGATTCTGAGGAGGTCGGAATTGATTGATTTTATTTTTATATGGCGTGACTGTGCAGCCAAATCATGTAACCGTCACCACAGCAAAAATAAACTCATGTATCCCTCTTAACACATCTAAAACATGGAGTAATTATTAAACTGTGAAGCACTGCACATATACCACAGTCCTCTCCTACAGCTGCGTTGTTTCTGAGTTTCAGACTATCCATTTAACTTGTTCTGAATAAAAGATTGTAGAAGATTTATGATGATCATGTGTTTTGCACAGTCCACATGAAATTATGCTTTTTTTTCATGTAATTGTTTCTTAACTGTCCCAAAGAACAAAATCAAAACTAACCGTTATCACATCTGTGGCTTCCCTGAATAGCTTTATTTTTGCTCGTAAACAAAATGTAGTGTAAAAATAAATCTGTCTCACTTTTGTGGTCACATTAACTTGTGCTCAGATGTAAGAACTGTAACAGTTGTGTAATAACATCAGGCCTTGATGTGGTGGCCTTGGGTTCACATGCCCTTTTTGTCTCTCTCTGAAGGAGCAAGGTGCTGTCTCGCTGGTTGGCATCTCTTCCTGTGCAGTTGTCCCAGTTGGGCCACCGTAACCCAATGCTGTCTGCGCAGCTCATCCTTTCCATCCAGGCCGCTGCTTCTCGAGGCAACAAAGACCTGCTCAGCAGTCTGCAGACGCATGCCTGCACGCTGTATGGTGAGCATGAAAATGCAGTGATCATAATGTTTGGGGCCGCTTGAGAAATGTTTTTTGGGGTGGGGGAGCAAATGCAGCAATCATACTTGAGAACTGAGACCCCTGAAGTGTGTAATCTGTCATGATGTGACTCCTGCTACCAGAGATCTGCACAACGAAGCAGGATTTGGACTGTTAAAGGTTCCTTCAAGTTTAGTCCTGAGTTTTCAGTATTATGGAGGTGGTTTACACCAGGATACATCGCCATGGTTACTCATGATGCAGACCTAACCAGCACAGATTATGGCTACATCCAGACGTACACGGATATTTTTGAAAACGCAGATTTTTCTATGCGTTTGGGCCTTTCGTCCACATGTAAATGATGTTTTGGTTCACTGAAAACGGACATTTAAAAAAAAAAAATCCTGGCAGGGTGGAGATTTTCGAAAACTCAGTTTTTGTGTTTAGGTGTGGAAACGGAGATTTACTCACGCACACCTTATTGTTTACATGAAATAAATTATATAGACAAAATAGTGTTGCTGTTAATCTTACTATTTGCAGTTTTTACACGCTTACATATACACAGTTACTGTCCCTCCATTTAGAAAGACAGAGGCATCAGAGTGAACTTCGGATGTGGCTTACATTCAACACAGACGCTCTCACAACCCAAATCCATGTCGGTTTTGAATAAATATAATAATTAAATTTAATTATGTTATGCTGTATGCATTTTGTTCATTCCTAAGTTGTGAGTCTACACAACAGCCAAAATACTGTCTTTATTATTAACATTTGAAATGATGAAGGCACTTGAAAAGTAACACAAAATTATCTGCTGTTCCAGAAAAACAAAAACTTTTCAGAAGTGCTTAAGGTTTTGTGAGGGCACAAAACCCTGTTTAGTCTTTTCCTCCCAGGCTTCTGATTGGCCAACATTTTGTTTTTAGCGTTTACATGTGGACGGAGATATTTTTCAAAACTGCACGTGTGGACTGGATTTTTGTTTAAGGAAACAGAAAATCTCCTTTTTCAAAAATACCCGAGTACATGTGGATGTAGCCTATGTTCCAAATTGAATCAGTTTTCTGAAATATAATATCACTGTTGCGCATAAAGATCTTTTCAGATCACGAAAGTCTAAAGTTTTTGACTTTTTTTTTTTTGTTGTTTGTTTGTTTGTTTTTAAGAGCGTCTTTATGTAAGGCCTATCCTGGGGGATACTCCCCCCCCACCCCCAATCATCTGGATGGGAACATGTTACCCTAAAACCTATATACCTTTCGGTGTTGATTGTCCCTTTCCACATGTGCAAACTGCCATACCATCAGAGATGCTGGCTTTTAAACTGAGCACTGACAACAAGCCAGATTATCCCTCTCTTCTTTATTTTGAAGGACATGGTGTCCTTTTTATTTTTTCAAAAAAGAATTTTGATTTATCTAACCACTAGACTCTTTTCCTCTTTGGATCAGTCCATCTTAAAAGACTGCAGTGTTTGTAGATCACCTGCACATATGCTTGACAGGGCTTTAACCTGCACTTGTGGACGGTGAACTGTGTTCTTAGACAAAGATTTCTGGAAGAGTTCCTGAGCCGGTGCAATCATTTCCATTATGGAATCACACCTGAGAGCACGGGCCTCCAATATAAACAAACGTAGTAATTTAACGTTGAGGAACATTTTTCTGAAATTTTTCCAGTTTGTAGACATAGTTTGTTTTTTGTTTTTTCCGGGTTGATGAGCCTCTCTGAGAGGCTCTTTTTTTTTTACATTTTTTTTATACCAAATCATATTACTGACCTGTTGTTAGTTTCTCCGTGTGTGTGTGTTTTTTTTTTTTTTATTTATTTATTTTTTTTCTCTTCGTTCCTCAGACCACATGGTGGAGAGGTATTTAAGCCCTAGTGGGAGTTGTCCCTTAAGAAGGCTGTTGGCCCACTGTTGAGCATGTGTCTCATCACATGAGCCAAGGTGTGGAAAAGGGTGTGGTGGGGTCATTATCAGCACAGGTTTCGGGTGAAACAATCATGTGACTTATTGAGATCAATTGATGCAAGATGTGAGTGGGCGTTAAGGTGCCTCAGAACTGGATTGTAGGTGGCAGCGGTTCATGTCGCAAGCCACCACCTCTGTTCAAGGATGGTCGTTCACAGTGGACATAGATGGCTTCTTTCACTCCTCTTTCAAACCATCTGTCTTTATCCAAAATGTGAACATTGGCATCCTCGAAGGAGTTTTTATTTTTACAGTTTAACCCTGTTCTATAAAATACAAATTCTTGCAGCTGTTTATCGACTTTAGTTCACTTGAACTTTTGTGTGTGTAAAAGACCAAACTGAGGGAAGAACACTCCTAGGTTACAGACACATCACGACCAGGGAAAAATACTGTAGGTGTAGAAATGCATTAATTTGCAATCAGAGGTTGGAATCACAAAATAACCTAAAAGAAGAAGTGTAGAAGCTTTTTTTCCCTGTCATTTTCCTTATATTCATATGTTGCATGCATAGGTCTAGCAAAGGTATACAGACCTCCAAAAATCTGACTCTCTAACTAGAGTAATTCCCATAGGAGGCACTACAACGCTGTGTTAGCCACCCCAGGCAACTTTGTACATTGCTGTCCATAAGAACAGCTCAGAGAATGGTCAGATAGTTAGATAGCTGGTGTGTAACAGAGGGGGTTGGGAAGAGGAGGAGGGGGGGTGTTTCTGATAGAAACTGCCGCAGAGCCAGCAATTCACCATCACAAGACTCCTTTTGTCTGAGAGCTTCTGACATCAGCATGTGCGTCAGAGACGGGCAGAACACCACACACACAGACGCATTATCTGAGCCAATACTGTAGTAGTTATGTCTTTCGTCTTTCTCTTTTACTGGTCCCAACATAGTCTGGTTTTCCAAGTATTGGTCCTAATTTTCCAGATAGAGCTCCTCGTTAAATCCCCACAGGGTGCACAGCATTGCTGTCTCTCCATAATTACACGTGACTTGTGCATCTCTGTTTGTCTGTGAAGATCCACAGGATGGGGTCGTGGTGCTCTTACCATCAGAGTCCCAGCAGCGAATGGTGCAGCTGCTCTACTTCCTCCCCAAGATGTCCCAGCCTCTTCTGGCCAATCTGAGCAGCTGCTGCACTGCTGGACGAATCTCTGCCGGCCTCGCCGCCTCTCTGATTCGTATCATACATCTTAGGTGAGCTTTCAGACCCGCTTTGGAAAGCACATGAACACAGTTGTGTTTGACAGCAGATGGTTGCTGGCACACAGGCACACAAACGACGCTCTGCCTGATCACCATCAGATGGCAGTGTTGTTCTTTCACAGACAAATCAGTGACAGCTTTTATGATCTATTACCTGCTTGTTGACATAAACTGAGATGAATATTCTGTATTTTTGATATTCAACTTCCTTGTGACAATTAAACCACTTTTTTTTTTATTTTATTATGTTTTGTTCTATTATCATCCCCAGTTAACCTTTCTCTGTGATGATATGTGTGTGCTGCCATGTTTGACCTTATTCTTATGTCAGTGGGGCAGTGTTATACAAATTTTGAGTGGTGGGAGTACTGAGTTCATATGGGATGGAGTGTGTGTACGGGTGTGTGTGTGTGTCTCGAGTGTTGTACAAAGAGCTCTTTTTGAGGCTGGAATGCAGGATCGTCATGGAGTATTGAGAAGATGGTCTGCATGTGTCTCCCGGGCTTTATGAAACACCCTGTTATTCACACACATTTCTCACTGTTACAAATCTATATTCCCCCACAGGACAAGGAAGAAGTTTTCATAATTATATTTCAGTGTGCTGTTATTCTTAATATTCTTGAAAATAGAAGAACACTGAAATCAAATCCTGAATAATCCTAAAGTGTTTGAAATGTGAGAACTTTCAAAATTTACAAAGCGTGAGATTCAAATCACAATTCAGGGTTTTTGATTGTGTAACATGATCACTGATTATGTTCTCCAGGTCCCCTCTGAGCAGCTGGACAGCTGGGAGCCAGGAAGCAGCATTGCAGCACGTGGACTATTTCAGCTTCCTGTTCTCCACCCTCATAGGCTTCTCGTCCGAACAGCTCGCCTCCCTGCAGGAGGCAGAGGATGACAGTGTCCTGCCTCCCGCCGCTCTTTCACCTCTCAGCGTCTACCCCACCCCGCTGGAGCAGTTCACACACCACTGGGACATTGTTGAGGTGTGTTGATTGTTCACCTTTTTAATCCCACACCTAAACCCTTAATTTAACATTAGAAATAAATCTGGAGGAGACCCAGACTTGCAGGTGAAGGAAGGGGTAGAAAAGACATTGTTTTGATATTCTGGACACAGCTGTGGTCTGTCGGTCCCCCCGGTCTCTCTCCGTCTCTCCTATTGAGCTCAGAGGGTGGAAGCTTTATCGTTGCACTCCGGCTGAGAGGGGAACGTTTATCGCGTTGCGCAGGTTGGAGATGCGTGGTTATCGGGCATAGTGGATATGCACAAATGCTAATGAGAGCCCATGGCATGATGGGAGAGTGACATTTCTGCACAGAAATTACCGTTAACGTAACTGTGCCCTGGGGCAAGAGTGTGTGAGTGTGTGAGCAAGTGGGGGGCTTATAATCACTAATTCAGCTCCTCAATTAAGGTCTCAGATCCTACCTCTCTCATCTCCCTGTCTGAGTCAATCACAGGGAAGTGGAAGGAAGGGGGAGCGGAGGGGGACGCTTGGTGAGGATGGAAGGAAGGGGGGGGCGGCATTAAGGACGGACTGTGTCAACTCCAGTTCGGCTAATGAGATGGGATTGTTTTTAATGACGGCGAGAATGCCAACAGGTGCACCGTTCAGACACCCACCGGCTCACACACACGCACCTAAATTTGATAAAAGTTAATGAGAAATTTGATTTGGATTTCAAGTTAATGACGGAAAGCTGAGCCTTATTTTTCACTTTTAAAAAGTTAGTGGCATGTCGGTGGTTTAGGCCTGAAACCACTCGCTTGCTGACAATCTGGAAAGTGAAAATAGTGAAACTGAAACTAAAAGTAATTTGTATGTCACATCTTTGGTAGTCAAGTGACAATCGGGAATATTGCATTCTTTCTGTATGCTTTCTTTTTTTTTTATGGGCCACCATGGAGTTAAAATATTTTTTTAAAAATACGTTGGGAGGAGGTAACAAGGGCAGTGCACACTGTTATTTGGAAGAGAGAGTAATTTTTCTTTTTTGTACAATTATGAGCAGTTTACCTGTCAAAGATAAATACTTATTAAGGATTTTAGCAGTAACCTGTAAAATCTTTAAATCTGAACCCCCAGCTGAGAATAAATGGATTGCCATAGTGAGTAATATTCAAGAAACTGAGAGAATTACTTTTTATTCAAATATTATGGTGATCAATTTACAATAAACTGGGAGAAACTGATGTATGTAATCCAGTTACATACTTAGTTTCCTCCTTCCTGTTTTTGTTTTGTTTTTGTACCTGTATTTGTGAAGAATGCAACAAAATAAAAAGTTGTGTTTTTTTTGTTTTTTTTTAACAAAAAGATAAAATAAGAGCAGAAAATCTGTTGATGGAGTGTGTATGTCTGTTTTAGAGCTCGTGTGCTTACATATCTGCAGTCAGATCCCTCAGTCACACATTCGGACTTTGAAATCATTGCATCAGTGAGACACATGTATGAATATGGTCATAACCAAAATAACTGTTTGATTTATAGGAAGTGTGCCACTGTCTGGAAACTCTGGGCTCAAAGTCTCAGTGCTTTGACATCTTACAAACTGGCATTTGCAACTACCTGGTAAGAGACTGTTGTTATTAAGCATGCAGTAAATCACACTGATTTTTTTACATAAAGTTTGTTTATGGCAGTTTTATTTTATTTATACTTTTGGTGTGTGTGTGTGTCTGTCTGTCTGTCTGTCTGTGTCTGTCTGTGTCTGTCTGTCTGTCTCTCTCTCTCTGTCTCTCTCTCTCACTCAGACCAAGTTAGAGGTGGTTTCCGACAGCATGGCGGCCGGGCTGCTGAGAGCTGTATCCAGACTGCTGGATCTCTCAGTCCTGCCCCTTGAGCCTGTGTTGCGCTTCTTGTCACAGTGCTGCCTCAGCCTGTTGTCGTTGCTCCTCACCCTGCAGCAGGAGGCACCTACTGAAACCAACCACAAAAGGTGTGCTTGAAACTCTTTCAGTGATCTGTGCTGATTGATTTTGATCGAATGCGTTAACACCCTTGCTTGACATTTGCAGGGAAGCAATTTGGGGTGCTTGCGTGACAGCGCTGAGCAGCATTCCTCGCCTGCTGCGGGTTGTCCTGCAGTCGTTGCGCGTTGCCAATCTGAACGAGGAGGAGCTGCCGCAGCTCGGACAGATTCTCTCCATGCTGCTGCAGCACACGTCGCTCCACAGCCAGCTGCTGGCCAACACCACTCTGCTGCAAGAAATCCTCCAGCACCTCACGGTAAACGCGCCCACACAGATGCAGGCATATTCAATTGAAGGTATTTGAATGACACGGATGGAGATTGATCACCAGATTACTTTGTGCGTGTGTTTCAGAGGTTCTCCCGGGGTGCAACCAGGGAGCAGTGGCTGACAGACCTGCTCTACTGTTACAGCGTCACCGTGGCTCACGGCTCGTCTGCTCACCGTGGTAATCTGGGCCTTCGAGACATATACTAACGGATGCACCCAACAGTACGTGGTGTATTGCTCAGTTTAGCCTCCCAAACATGTTACAGTCACAATGACAACACGCAGGGCTCAGTAGTGACAAGTACACATGATCACACTTTCATACAGAAGACAATGAGAACTTTTTTGTTTTAAAGTACTCCACATTCTTGTCCTTTCTTCTTTACTGTTTTATTCACAGCCCTGGTAACTGTGTATTCTCTTTTTTGAGTGTTAATACTGAACGGTCGTCCAGTGGCTACTTAAGTGACTTTGTATTAAAAGGAGTGGTGGGTAAGCAGAATAAAGGCAAAATGAAGTTAAATCAGAGGACTCTTTCTTTTGTTTTAGTTTTTATTTTTCACATTTTTTTAATAACACATTTAAAACATCTAGTATATATTTATAAAAGTACATAATAAAGATTGTTCTGTGCAAATAAAAAGAACAGCAAAAACAGCATAGTTCACAAATAATACTTTTGAGAGGGAAAGCACTTTAAGACTAGTGTGTGTGTGTGTGTGTGTGTGTGTGTGTGTGTGTTGTGTGTGTGTGTGTGTGTGTGTGTGTGTGTGTGTGTGTGTGTGTGTGTGTGTGTGTGTGTGTGTGTGTGTGTATGTAGAGTTTGTGCTACAGAGTGGGCTATCTCTATGACTGGCTGTTGATAGACTGCCTCATTCTCCACAACGGGAGGAAAGGTTATCTCAGTGTGTGTGCGACAGCAACGGAGAAGGAGGGAGATGGAGTGTGTATGTGTTCCTTCCACAATGGATGAAAGGTTATCTTTTACACACACCATTTTCTGTAGACTTAACCCCACCCTGTGAGGTCATGGCTCTGATGTCATATGGCTTAATTTTAGAAAACTTGGCACATTGAGTGAACAATGCGTAGAGTAATTCTATAGAGGCAAGACTATCAGCCAGCTGAGAAAACATCAAAGAACATGATGTGCGTGTGTGTGTGGTTTTTCAATGTTTTCCCCGGCCTCGTGTCCCCTGTCCTGCGCTATGTGGTCTCAGGTGGTAAGAGTAGAGCTTGGCTTGATTCATGGTGTCAGTCAAAGGCACACAGTCTATACCGCTCACTAAAAAAGACAAGCATTTAATAACTTTTGTAGAAACTTGTACTTGATAAATAAAGGTGTGTTTGTGTGCACAGGCACTTACACTGGCTCTGGGTGCGTTGAGGGATGTCCAAGAGCAGCTGAGACTGAGAGTCCCGAAATGAACGCCCTCGTCTGGACTTTGAGTTGCCTAAAGGGCAGTAAAGTAAAGAGCTGATGAAATTAAGCTGTCCAGCTACATAATGTGAATGGTTTCTGAACACAGGTAGTTGATGTTGGATACCAAAGCCTGGGGCGCTCCTTTAACTGGTTGATCTAGTCAGAGCTCACACCCACACTTGAGCTATGCTACGGTTGTCTTTATGTAGTGTATCCATGGGTGTTACTTCAGCAAAGGCCCTATAGCTCAGTGGTTAGAGCACTGGTCTTGTAAACCAGGGGTCGCGAGTTCAAATCTCGCTGGGGCCTAGTAAATGTTTTGGTCCTGTAAATATTTTTTTACAGGACCAAGGTTGCCAGACCCTTAGTGGACACAAGCCAGCAAGAGGCTTAAGACCCCTACTAGAATAGGCCACGGAAATTGCTCGAACTATCCAGTGGGAAAGGCGCTCTTTAGGCACAGGCTTTTCTATATGTGGTTTAGCGCAAGCTACAAACAACTGGTCACTTTGTCTAAAACTCTGGATTCTGTCCATATGGATACGCAGAGCACAGACTGGAAACAAGGTATGCAGCCACTGTGGCATACCTATTTGGGGAGAACTCATTTCACAACCTCTACACTGAAAGAGCGTGGATTTCTCCTACAAACGTAGCTGAAGCTAAAATAATCAATAGAGCTGTCTTCAAGCACAGAAATTTTACCTTCTTGGCTGAAACCATCCTCACGGTAACAATCTGAGACAGGAAATCTTGTTTCTTACACTCGTGGAGCACAAATGAACAGTCTGGAGAGACTCTCACATGATGGTGGCCGTCACAGTGAGGGTCTAGTCCCTGTGATCCTACCCACTTCTGAAAGTCCCATGTTCAGTGGCATCATCACTACAAAGGAAGCTAGCAGCCTCTGGGACTGTTTGAGGATAACTTGGGTTGCCTCTGCGAAACAGTGCTAGGGATGACTGTATGGCCAATGTTCTCTTTGAGGACAGAAATGCTCTCACCCAGAGACGTCTAGAAAGTAGTGCGTTGAGTTGGTCTCAACGTGCTCTTTTCCACACTGACTGGAGGCAGTTGGGGGCTGCCACCAGTCAGTCGTTGGAGTATGTGGCTACCCGAAAGCCTTTTCCCCGAGCAGGGCCACTGCTGCCTCGGTGCATTTTACAAACACCCTTTTGAGATGCCAAAAGGCAGGACCACAAACTCATATGCTATCTCCTGGAAAGCAAATCTTAGATACTTTCTGTGTGGGGGGATATATGAGGATGTGGAAAAAAAACGTCCCACAGTAAAGTGTGGGTGAAATTAAGGTTTCCAGCAATGCAATGTGAATGGTCTCTGAACACAAGGCAGCTAGTGTTGGATACTAAAGCCCTGGGCACTCCTTTAACTGGTTGATCAAGTTCAGAGTCCACACCCACACTTGAGCTATGCTACGGTTGTCTTTATGTAGTGTATCCATGGGTGTTACTTCAGCAAAGGCCCTATAGCTCAGTGGTTAGAGCACTGGTCTTGTAAACCAGGGGTCGCGAGTTCAAATCTCGCTGGGGCCTAGTAAATGTTTTGGTCCTCCTCTAGGTGGACACATAAGCCCCTTTTCCATTAGAACCTACTCAGATCAACTCGGAACGACTGGTTTTCCATTACAATCAAGTACCACAGAAAGTGCGTTGTTGTCATTATAGCAACTCGGCTGAGCATCCCATGACGTATTTGGTATGCATAACAAACGCTACAGCAAAGGTGGACGTCGAGGTCACTGTATACCTGCTGCTCGGTCTGTGAGCCCTTACAGGCTGGCTAAGTGACGCCCATGTCAGGAGAGGCTAGGGCCTCCCTATATAATCGGCTGACATAGCGTCAGATGTAATTCAAAACAAGCCCACCTTTTCCTCACTTCCCTAGCAAAGAGGGTGGTCTGGTGAAACACTCGCTCATACTACTCATAGAACCGGGGTTATAGACATAACCTTAAGTTCTCTTTCATAGCATTCATTTTGTGTCACACTAGGGGGACAAATACTAACTCCCGGATTGCCAGACATGCATGTTTAGAAGACAACTGTCCCCAGTAGTACTTCACAGGGAAGAAGCTCCCAGCTGTGAAGAACATGCACTGAGGACTGAATGTGCCTGGTTAGGTGCTGTTATATTTAGCCTGTAAAATCTAGCAAATGTGTGAGGTGAGGCCCAGGATGCAGCTGCACACATCGCCTGGACAGAAACTCCCTTAAAAAGAGTCTTGATGCATTCTTAATCATCCAGGTAATTAAATCTCAAAAGATTGATTCTGTTCATCTGGACGTAGCAATGTAGCAACAGTTCTGATACTCCTGAAACACAGGGGATCACTACGTGTTTTTGCTTAGGCATCAGTTGTCCTTCTCTCCTAAAGATTTCTGATAAATGTCCAGCTGGGATAACCACATTTACTCAGGGCCTTCTTGACCTGATGGTCTTCTGCTTCCGTGGCTGCTGTGTCTGTAGGGATGGTGTTCACTCTATGGTGTAGCGTCCTGATGACACCCAGTTTGTGCTCCAGTGGATGATGAGAGTCAGAACTTAAATACTGATCCGTATGCACAGGTTTACAGTACACATTAGCTTTTAAATGTCCCCCATTACTGATGGAAATCTCCCAGTCTAAGAAGGCCAACCTGTTGCCCCAGCAGACCACACTGTAAAAGTTGGCTGAGGTAAACACAGAGTCCTAGAAGGTCTTCAGGAGTGGGACCTTCACTCCAAAAGACCTGAGCAGGTACAGCCTGCTCTTCCCTTTTCTGTAGAGAGCATTTGAATTGTGAGTCCAGTCCAGTTTATTGTTTAGATGAACACCAAGGTACCTGTAGCTGTCTACAGTTCCATACCTTGGATGTTTAGTGGTTGCAGTGGAGGATGTTTGTGCCTGTGGAAGTCTACCACCAGCTCCTTGGTTTTTCTAGTGTTGATCTGGAGGTAGTTCTGCTGGCACCAGTTCACAAAGCCTTGGCTCAGTTCTCTGTAACCCTTGTGGTCCCCATCAGTGATGAGGTCAACTATTGCAGAGTCGTCAGCGAATTTCTGCAAGAAGTACTGGGTGAAGTTGTGAGAGAAGTCTGCAGTGTAGATGGTCATCTCTCACCTTTTAAACAAAACCCAAGGTGTTCTGGGTGTGGTGTTCAGAGCTGCCTACCCCAATGGGTTGAGGATCGAAGCCAGAAACTTAGAAATATTATAGGTGACCGAGTTGATCATACAGACAATTGGTCTTAAAGGTACACCGTGTTTATGTATCTTCGGTAAACCATACAGACTTGTGTAGATTCCCCTGGGTATAGCCTGTGGTATGAGGTCCGGTCAATAGCAATGTCTTATTCTAACTGCTTCAGACAATCTATCACCCTCTTCCTGTAACCACTTCCTCGGTCTCGTTTCAGGGGCTCATAAGTATTTTTGTCACTGAACAGTGACAACATTTTCTCACGATAGTCTTTCTGATTTTAGCAAGACTGTGCACCTACCCTTGTCTGCCGGAAGGATGATTATGTTGTTGTCATTACTAAGTGATGTGAGTGCCTTCCTCTCCTCCATCCTGATGTTGGATGCTTGGGGATTTGCATTGCTGAGACAGGCCTAAACTTTCATCCCTGGTTGCTCTGCTTCCACATCTACAACATTGTTGTTTGAAATCTCTGTTTCTGTGGCTGTGATCAGTTCAACTCGTGGATTTGTTTCGGCATAACAGCAAAGTTCAACCTTTTTGTAAGGATGATTTTTGCTGCTTGGGTGAGTTGTATGTCAGACAAATCTTTCACCTACTTGTCCACATCCTCGGTGTGGCATCCTTCTCTCTTATGGCTGCTAGGGACACTCTCTGTATTTTGCTATGGTTTCCGATGTAAAACAAGTAAGTTGATCAATGGTCTTTGATCAATGGTTTTTGATCAGTGGGCTTTGATCAGTGGTTGTTGATCAATGGTCATGACAATTTGCATATTAATGATCAAGGAACTTACCTCACATCTCATTGTTCATTCAGCGGGCTGGTTTCAGTTATTGTGCAAAGTACCGTTTATAAGGTTGGGGAAACCTGCAGCCAGCTGAGACTGAAGAAGTCACTTGGA